CACACTAGACACCAAAGTTAGTCTATAACAAAAACTCCAAATATAATAAAGATGTTTAAAACATGTATTAAATTATACAGAATAGTTAATTACATATTAAATAGATCACTACTGCAACTTTGGTAAATCGAGCCTGCGAGTTTTCATATTCTGAAAATGTTGCATAATAGTTCATTATCGATGCTTCTAAAAACATCTTTCTCGTTGTAGCACACCAAGTAATCCGTAAGATAGTCATCTCTCATTTTATTGCGAAGATCTGTCTTGATAATATTCATCGCAAAGAAGACTACAAAAGCCAACTCAATCAAACAATATATCAAGTGAAAAGAATTGTGAACTTTAAGCTCAACCATCTTTTTACAATTCAAAACTTCACCAATAGTTTTTGCACGGCAGAAAATAACTCATTTGTTCTCATTTCATTTATCCACACCTGGAGTTGCTCTTTCAGCTCCATTCGAACAACAAATGAAAAATTGCATAAATATAACTCCGCAAGGTTCAGTAGCTTTGACTCACAGAAATTGGAAAACTTATGTATTATCATTCTAGTCTTCCAAATGTTAGTGAGTTTTTAGAATTTTAATACTCCGTACAAGCTAATCGTACCCAACTTCTCCCTTGTACAACCCTTCACCTCTCCCCGTATGTTGGTCGTCCGTGCTGCCTCTTAATATGAACACTGTGTACAAGCTAATCGTACCCAACTTCTCCCTTGCTACCCTTCATCCCTCTGCCGCTTAAGTGCCGAAATTAGCTACCAAAATGCGCGATCAACCTTTTGCTCACTCATCAGAGAAGCAAAGCCCTGTCAACCCGATCACTTTGTATGTGTCATCGTTCCAAAGCTATGTGCAAGTTGTTGATTCAAAAACTGCGAATGAAGTCGCCCCAACCCTAGGCATATGCCTAGTTGACTGTTTTCATTAGGAAGAAGCTAATTAAAACATGCAGTGCCGCTATCTCAATAGGGAATTGTCGTCATATTTGTGTAAATAAATTTTATTTTAGTAATATTTGTGAAGAAATCCCCTTGAAAATACAATCAATTATACCAGTATACCGTCATATTAAGCCTAGTAATATCATTATATGACATTATGTTATTCTTATTTTGATGAAAAGTATTGTACTTTTATTTTGAAATTCTACATTGTTTTTTATCACCATTCGAGAGCTTTCACAAAAACAGGTTTAGATGGAAGCCCGCTTGATAACACTGGAATTGAATGGATTGATTGAACCCATCGAAGTTTGTGATTTTTTTTTATTGAGGCAACAAAATTTGCTGAATCTACTCAATTATGAAAAGATTATATGCAAAATATATTTCAATATAGAATAAAGAAAAAATATATCAAACTAATTAAAGTAGTCATCTTCAAAAGTTTTTGCTATAAAACTTTGGAATTACTCCTTTTTGTCATAAAAAGTATGTACTATTATCGTTTTTGAGAAGTCTATTATTATTTTTAGCATTCATGAATTAATCATACAACTGTATGCGATTTTTAGCATTTCTGCATTTTACTATTTTAGTCAACTCAAGGCCGGTTTTTATGTTGTGACAATCGTGGTCTTGAGATACAATAAGCTAAGGAATTTAATGAAATAATAAATGAGAAACATGAAGGCAATAATGTCCAACAATCAGAAAAATCAATTCCAAAATGAATTCATCCAAAATGAAGGAGGAAAAGGAGGAGAATGAATATAAAAACATGACATTGAAGGCAGAAGTCGCAAGGTGGCGTAGACGGGCAGCGGTGATGGAATAATGTGGCTACGGCGGCATTGCAGTGTCGTGAGCGGTAACAGGAGACGAACTTGAGTAGAGCAACATGGATCATAGCGCAAGTCAGTTAGGATATGCATATATAATTATACGTAGTTTATATAAGAGAATAAAATGGTAATCTTAAGTCCTATTAGGAATTATAAATATGCAATTCACTTTAGCGGACTTTTAGCTGTTTTAGGGTTCATTTGGTAACATTGAAATTGGATGAATCTGATGAAATTTATAAAATTTTGGTTGAAGTGGCTCAATTTGATAAATCTTTTGAATTATGTAAAACATATTGATTTTTTTATAGAAAATTAAGAAATAATTACATGAAAATAGCTAAAATCATTCTCTATGGTAGTTTCGATCAACTCAACCAAAAAGTAATTCCAAAATTACTTACTTTGATTATTACACCATTCAACGCGTGAAATTAAAAACACATAAAACAATTGACTGAATATTGATAAGGTTAACGTATGGGTTAACGATTGGGGTTAAGATTTAGAACCACTAGTATTAGACTACTATTAGGGGCGTAACTAGGGGAGAGCCAATCTTGTCCCTGGCCCAACCCAAATTTAAAAAATGTCTATATTTTTGGTGCAAAAAATTTTGTGTAAAGAAGTTTCCAAAAATATTCTTTGTACCGGCCCACTCTGACCTATTACCCTGACTCCGCCCCCGATTAGTATTCTTTTAAAAACCTAAAGACTGTTCGGCTAAATCCCGAGTTGAGTTTTGCTAGAGATACACAAAATGTGTACACATGTCTGTCTTTCACAGAAATTTTGTTTGGCACAGACAATTCAAAATGAGTTGTCTGTGACAGACAAAATTTCTGTGAAGAACAGATATATATACACATTTTTTTTTGGATAATATATATACACATTTTGTATACACATTTTGTGTATCTCAAGCATTTTTCATCCGGAGTTACTTGATTTTCAATTAACAAAAAAAGAGAGAGAAAAGAATGCATTTAATTTACTGCCTTTTCTGTTATGTCATTTTGCTGAAGAACGACTCGCCGCGTCCACCTTATCTACTCATATACAAGTCAGCAGAGTAAAGGAACCGTTGAAATGAATGACAACATCCCCACCCTTTATTTAGTACGGAATAAATTAATAAAACTCTGCATATAGACATTATGTCCACATTTTTTTGCCAAAACTAAAAATGCTTATTATTCTTATGCCCTTAAATTTTGATCGCACTTATCTCATAATATTCTCAAGCCACGAGGATATCGTAAGTATAGGCTAGATTTTCATCACATCTGATCTCAACATTTAGCATGCCGTAATGATGTTTTTTTTTTATTGTTAATGAGTTTTATTATTGTGTAAATCTGATATAATATGATATTTAATTTGAGTTTGATTTGAGATCAATTCAATTAAAAATATCCCAGTTGCGATTAGAACTAAACCTAATTGAATCTAAGAAGGATATTGAAATTAGGATACCGAGAAATAAACTAATTACAATTTCACTCGACTATAAAATCAAATATAATTTGTCCATCATTTAAAAGTGATCTTTCACAAGATGACGTTAATTCTCCCACTTATTACAATGTGATAAACATTTGATACGGACACTTAACATATACATATACTCGACTATAAAATCAAATTCTAACCTTCTAATACACTTCATCTATGATTTGTAACTTTAAGATTGTCTAGTAGACTAATAGGGCGAATATATAGTTGGTAAGTGAATTCCTTCGAATGTAAGTATACAAATCATACAATAAAAAGTTCTTTTGTACACTAAGGTTATATCAATACTAAATTTTATTTATACGGACCAATGCTATAGACATAAGGGGTGTTTGTGTATTAGCGTTTCAACCCAAAATGCTACAACTTTTCAATATGAAACGCTGAAAAGTGCAGCGTTTAACACTCAAAACGTCTAAATACAAACAGAGCCATAATCAATATGGCGCATATGCATCGACATTAAGAGTTAATCTGCAATCAATGGGAGTGTGGGACCATGCTAGCCTTTAACCAAATTATCTGTCTAAACAACAAATAACATACTCCCTCCGTATCACATATATCTTCCCACTTCCAAAGTGGGTGAGATTAAGAATAGTGAAATGTGGTATGAATTATTGAGGGTATGATGGGAAGATGGTGAAATAATGTGAAGGAATGAAGGATAAATCCAAAAAAAGTAGGTGTAGTAGTGTATTATTTTTTAAATTATTGAGGGTATGATGGGAAGATTTAGAAATGAGAAGATATATATGTTACGTCCAAAAAAGGAAAGTGAGAAGATATGAATGTTACGGAGGGGGTATACATTAGGCGTGTAGAGACAAACAACATCGGAAAAATCATGATTGTTTTATCCATTTAAACACAAATCATGTTTCTTGGCTTTATAAAGTGACACGCTATTTGTGTTTCAAACAAAATGAGAAAGACTTCTCTATCTCACATTTCGACCCCACAAACAATGTAGGGCTGTGTAATCTAAGATCAAACTCTATGTACTAGAGGCATTGTTTATTTGTTATGAAATGCAAAGAAAAGACAATATAATCATTGGCTTCCCACATAAAGTAGAGGATGAGAACAAAAGCCAATATTTTTCATATCATCATCATGAACATGTGAAAGACATTGATGGTTTGGAACAAATAGCGAGTCTCTTCATATCTCCTAATTTATTTTAGTGTTAGGCATGAAATGGATTTGCACAATATCATATACCAAATCATCATATAATTAAGGTCTTGTTGGGGAACTGTTTGTTCCATTAGGAATAATCTCTCTATATCTTCAATATATACTTAACCTATCTATATCTTCAATAAAAAAACTTGTTTCATATCACATCATATCCTACTTGATTAGATGCATAAAATTTAATCAATTTATATCAAATCAGAATAGACAAGATTTTAAAAAAAACGAGATACAAATTAGTACAATACATGTAAAATCAATTTAAACAAAATCAGTTCAGATCACACCAGAATCAGACACGAGTTCTGGAAATTCTTAGTGATACAAGTTGAGATTTTATATTGGTAAAAAGATGTGCTTCGTATTTAGGATTATGAAAGTTTAGATTAGGTTAGTAAATTGATTAAATTCATCTTTTTGATCTGATCGTAAGTGACTGGAACTTACCACTAATGATTAATCAAACTGATCGAATACAGAAAATGAAAATTTTGGAAGGGAGATTCATGCCAAAATTGTGTTTCTATTATTGTAAAAAGACTATAATAATTATTATTACATCTAAGACTCATCATCAGCATTTTTATGTGTTCTTAATTACATTCCCGGGCGGTCCAAAAAACCGCAAGTAAGATTTATTTCAGAGCTGTTCGATCTGATGATGAGGGGGTGAAGAAGGAATGGGAATGGCGATGTGGGAGGGTTTGGCGTCTCCGGCCATGACGACGATGAAGCTGGGAGTGATCATCTGGAGGGATTTTCCGGCGGTTGATCGGCCGGATTTGTCGTCGCCGTCGTCGGAGGACTGGTTCTGCTTGTGAAGGGAACAGACGAGGACGATGATGGCCAGGAGAATGACAGTGAACGCTACGGATAAGCTGACGAAGACGTACGGTATCGGAGATTTCCATTGCCAGATTGTGTTGTTGTTGGGGTTGTTGAAGGCGGAGGGGGACTCCACTGTTGCGGCGGCGCCGGCGGCGGTTGAAGCTCTCATTTCTCTCATCTCTGTTGTCTTCCGCCTTTGGGAGAGCCTTTTATTTCCCTTTCTTAATTTGTTAATATTTTCGTGACGGGGTGAAGAGATGGGGGGTATTTAATTGGCGTGAGTGGAGATGGATTTACAAAAATGACACTGCCCGTGAAGGAGAGACCTTTCTAGTGCCCCACACCTCTCGCATCGTACAAAAAAATTGCCAAAAAGCATGATCTCCAGCACCAATTTCATTTCACCTTTTTTGCTCTTGTTCAACTCTTAGCCATTTACAGCCCTTTGATGATCCTCTTTTCAATCTTATCATTTCGTCCGTTATTTCTTTTATCAACCATATGCTACCTTCTTCCCATTCAAATGTTTTTGTTTCAAAATAACACGATTATTTAGACAATAACAAAATATGCTAATTCAAATATATTTTGAATTTTTTTTATGGATATACAATATAATGACTTATTGATGATATCTATGAAGTTATAAATGTATTATTTTTAATATTTGTTAATTCAATTATTATTTAAGAGTGCTTATTGTTTCCTAAGATAAAAAATGAGAACCTTTAAGTGGGACGTCCAAAAAAAAAAATAGGAACCTCTAAATGAGATGGAGAGATTGATAAAATAAGTATTTATTTTATTTACACAGTGGTGCAATAATTAAAATAAGTAAAGTTGATTTTTTTTTAGCTGAATTGAATTTACACGTTTCATGTACGGAGTACTATATACGTAGTATCATGTTACAATAAAGGTATGATTTAAGGACCCCTAAAAGTATATACTCCACCGTCTATAGAATTTGACTAGACTTAATTTGCGCGTGGAATAGTAAAATAAAAATGTGTTGTTGAAATGTATTCAGAGAAGGGAGACACGCCTGACATAATTTTAATCATGTACTCCATATTTAACTATTTGTTACTTTAAATAGAAATGACAATTTTTTTGAGATGACTAAAAAAGTAGTTGACCTTAATTGACTATTGAAATCATACATTAAAATGCATGATTATTCACAACAATATAATTAAAATACACCCCCTGTCCCATAAACCTCTTCCGATCCTCCTTTAAGTTGGATAAGAGTTTAAAAGAGTTTATAAAGTGAAAATGCATGTTGTGGATGTGCTTGTGGTTGAGCAAGACAAAACTAAATAATTAAATGTTAGTGACAAAAATCTTTCCAAAAAATTAAAGAAATGGGAAAATTTTGTACACATCCCAAAAAGGTAAGTGGCCGTCTAGAAAATTTATGATTGAGTAAGAAAAAAATAAATGAACATTATTAACCCAAAACTTTTAAAAAAGAAAATGAGAAGATTTGTATGCAACATCTCAAAAAGTTAGGTAATTAGGAAGTTGCAGGAACGCCTAGAAGTACAAATTGTTATGGAGTATATACGTAGATAAATGGCAACTATCACAAATAGTTATGGTGGTCATCCAGTGATCGATGTTGACAATCGTAACAAATTGGCAATGAAGATCAGCCACAATAGGGTTAATTAATTTGAAATGGTATGGTTTTTTTATGTACCAATTGGGAAAATTGGAACATATCTTATGAAACATTTGAGAGGTCACAATCAATTTCCAATTCTACCTATCATTGTACACGGATTCGCTACCTTGACTAAAAGATTGAATTTGTTAAATTTGATTGATGCTTCATCCTTGTTTCTTAAATTTGTTGTTTTGAATTTTATACATATTTTTTAGGTTATTTCTTACTCCGTGCACGTAATATAATTATTCAGATTTTATCTTACCAATTGCTTCTAGTGATAACCTTGTCAACAAAGAAAGGTACAATCCTTCAAAAAACAAAGAAAGGTACAACAACATTACTATTTTAAATGTTATGGTACTCATAAAAATGAGTGCAATGTTCTTATTATATAGGGAGTATTTGATTGATTCTAAGTCATTGTTTAATCATTTATTTATATTTATACACTCAATTATAATTTACCTTTTACGGAGTAGCTTTTAGCAAATCAAAGACCTCAAGCTTTTCATATATATGTACTTCCAGTGGAGACAGGGAGGGGCTGGTGGTGGCCACGACCCCTGCAAGAAAAAAAAAATCTTACGTATATATAAAAAAAAAATCTTACGTATATATTATGTATAAATACTTTTAATGCAAGAAAGTATGTTGATATTTTAAACTTTGACTCCTGCAATGTAAAATTATTAAGGACCGACCTATTTAACCCTAAATGTTTGGCTCCGCCACTGTCTAAATTGCAATGGCATGGATTTTTTTTGTGAGACATTCAATTCTTGTGATTAGGATTCGTGTTGGACACGTTAGGCAGCTGTCTCATGTCATTTATTTTGTCCTTCAAATTTGTTCACGTCAAAATATTGAAAACTATACGTACAGATTAGATAAGAAAGCAACTTAATTACTTTTATTGCACGACAAGTTATTCCTTAATAATAATATGAATTGTTAAAACAACAATGATTTAATTTGGTCTAGTGTCTTAAAATAACATACGATTAAAATTCTTGAATTTTAGCATCCGATTTTCCTTCAAATCCAATGTGTATATCATACAATCGATTGTACGATGTAAATTGTACATAGTTTTGTAATTTTGATTGATAATTGCGACTTATGTTAATTGAGCATCAATGTATTTTTATTGAGCAATGGACATATTTCGTTGAGGATTTGTCATTATCTTGAGTATTATTTGACATTATCTTGAGTATTATGGTGATCTCAACTGCTTCATATCTTGTAATTCACTTTCATTTTGTTGTTTGTTCTTTTCTAAATATTTCTTAAATTACATTGATACGAAAATGCATATTATCCAAACTAGGACGAAAAACGCATTCAAATGATAAAACTAGTAACTTTAATTTTTTTTTGAAATAGCAAGCAAGTTCATACTATCGTATTAATTGTAATAATTGGAGATGCTTTTTTATCTAGCGGACTAAAAAGTCTAAGATAGCTTTTTTATTGGGCCCGTTTTTGGATCTTGTATTGAGGCCTTGAGGGTACACCCATTCGGTATTAGGTAAAACTCAAATAAAACGTGTGGAAGATCTGCATAAATACACCCATTCGGATCTAATACATCTCGATAGGGGTGGGTAATTCGGTTTGCGGTTCGATTTCCTTTGGTTTCGTTTCAATTTCGATTTATTCGTGTTGGAGAATTTGTACGAAACTAAAACCACCTTTGGTTTTGTTTCAATTTCGATTTATTCGGGTTTATTCGTGTTGGAGAATTTGTACGAAACTAAAACCACCTTTGGTTTTGTTTCAATTTCGATTTATTCGGGTTGGAGAATTTGTACGAAACTAAAACCATTTGTGTTTTGATTTGGTTTCGGTTCGGTTTACATAAAGTATTAGGTTTAGTTTAGTTCGATTTGATTCATTTTCTTATGTTTATTATTTTATTTGATCAAGTTCTATATTTTAGAATTAGAAAATGAAAGTAGTAGTCCATCTCATCTTCTGATTATTTAATAAAATGTAAAAAGAAATAAAAGATAGAAAAAGAAGTAATAAAATATTATAAATTCAAACTTCTAGTTTTTTTCGATCACTAGAAAAAGATTCACAATAAAATGACTTTTTTTTTTAAAAAGTCAGTGATACAAATGTTGTAATATTTACAATTTTAAATCATGTAGAAAAATATAAACGTAATTTGCTATTGTTATCGCCAATAACAAATAGAAATATGTCATATTAACTAACTTTGTTATAATGAATTTTTGAAATGTGTAAAAGTTAAATTGATATATTCTAAATATGCAATGTATTTTTCATGTCTAAATTATTTATTTGTAGAAGAGTACGGTGAAGATAAATACAAAATGTGTATACGAAGTATAAAATGTGTGTATACGAAGTATATAAAAGTTGTTCGGTGTTGATTTTTCGGTTCTAAAGAAAACGACACCAAATTATACGATTTGAACAAATTGGTAAACCACCAAACCACCAATTTTTGGTTTGATTCGGTTAAACCGAACCATTTTGTGCATTTTGACATTCAAAAGTAATGCATATTGTTGGGTGATGCAATTAGCGACTACACTTCTTATTCATGTTTAATAACCCCACAAAGAGTTTTGAATTGTGTACCAAAATATCACATTTTTAACCTAGCTTTAATGCACTTTATTCATCATTTGCATTGAGAGAGAAAATAGATTTTTTTTATTTGAACAAACATACATATCATCTATATGTATACCTAGCTAGCTAGATATCAGCGAGCTAGGCGGTGCCGGTGACTCCGAGGTCGTCCTTGTTGTCATCCTTACCGGCGCCGAAAACCGGACCCCCTAAGCCGGCGGCATCCTGAACCTTGTCCTGGACCTTATCAACCTGAATGCCCTTCTCGTCGTCTCTGGACCGGAGGTCGAGCCGGCTCCGGTTCTCCGGTTCAGGGACGGATTCGTACGTTGTTGCAGTTCTTGACCCTTTCGGCTCCGCTCCTTGTGCCCCTGACATCTTCTTCTTCTTTCTTCTTTAATTCAATTTTATGTTATATTTGGAAATGGATCAATGCACATGCAGGTAGGTAGCTGAATATATATAATATAATTGGCTTCCTAAGTCGTCTTCTAATCTGTATAAACAAAGGAACTTAATTAATACGGAGTATGATGATATGATATGCATGCATGCCCTGAGGTGAGATATGGATAATGCATGAATGTGCCACGTGTGTTATTCTGCGCGCGCCCATGTGGCGAGCTCCTCAAATGCCACCCATCATACATTCATACACGTGTATAGACATTTACATAACTAGTTTTTTTTCCTTAAATAAACTGATGAGTATTTCTCTCTTTCACTATAAGATTTTTGTATTACCACACAAAATCAATATTGTTTATTTTGAATTTTTTATTTTGTGCAACATAATTTTGTTATCGAAAAAATTTGACATATTGATTTTTGTTGACAATGATGGCAAATATTGGACAATGATTTTATTTATTATATATGTATATTATGTATTGATTTTATACTTTTATATATGAACATATTTTGGAAGGACGTAGGTTCATATATTTTTTCTCCCTGCGGCCTGATGTGCCTCTTGTAGGTTCATCTATTTTTTCTCTCTAGGGCGTTCCACCGCTGCTAAAGCTTTATTCCTCCGATATCAGTTTCGATCGAGGAGCGGTTAATTCGAAGTGAGGATTGCCGAGGGTTCATACGAAGGACAAAGGGCTTGCTAAGAGGATTGTGCAGGACATGCGCTTCAACTGTGCAAGTTTGCTCCGTGCGAGACACCGAAGGGGCGAGCAGCAGGAGATTTAGCACGGAAGAGATGAAGGGTGCTTGGCAGGAGACGGCCGGCCTTGTGTGATTTCTTGGCGCAAGACTTCATCGACGTTTCATTGAGGTGGGATAGATGAAGGTTGCTCGACAGGAAACCAACCGTGCGACGGATGGGAGCAGAGCCTTTTGCGCTAGGGTTTGGAGCCTTGTCTTGTTCGTGTCATAAATCATAACAGTGGTTCAGCCTCCTGAACCACCACCAGGGTTGAACAAGGTGCTAGGGATTACAAATTTATTTTTTCGCTATGTTAGTTTTTTATGGTGTCAAGTACTATGTTTATTTTCAGTTCTTTATTATTTTGTATTGCAAGACTTTGAGTTTGGATTTGGGGACAGGAGGTCTATGCTTTGTCTTTGGCTCAGATGCGCCCACAAATGGATCAACGAGTTATATTGCTTCTTTTGAGGTGGTTAACTCTGAGTCTCGTTCGAGAATTGACGATTGTGTGTGGTCTATTTGTCTTTTTAGCCCTTGTCTGAATGGTGTGAAATCAATATAAGCCACATTTCCTCAAAAAAAAAATTGGATACAAAACATTTTGATATTTTTTTTTCATATTCAAAATAATTTCATACTCCGTATTAAAATATTATTGGTCAAAGTTGATTGTCATAAATAAAAAAAAACCTTTTTAGACTTGGGAGTTGGAAAAGTAATAATAATAATTACTTAATGGAACAATTGCTTTCATCTTTAAACGTCATTCCAGTAGATCTTTTTTTGTCTTTTAGGCTGTCGGCTACTTCTGGGTGAAAATCCCAAATATAAGATTTACACCCTAAATGGGCTGCCACTCAAACCAAAAGTATAGAATACAATGATCCTATTATCCTATAGTGGGTTGGGGGATTAGGGCACTTGATTCGGATTTAATGCACTAAGTTCTGATTATTAATCAAACCTTATACCTCTCCTCTTATGATTATTCATGCGTAAAATCGTCTTCGAGAACAGTTTTAACAATGAAAAAATTTGTGTTTATATTATGATTAAATATTTGAATAGAGTTTTGTCACTTTTAATTAGGATTGTGAACGAATCAAATAATTTGTGCTCGATTCGTGTTTCAAATTCGCATAAGACGATTCGAATTCGGAAAATTCAAATACAAATAAGAATATTAAATTTGATTCGAGTTGTTATCAAATACAAATAAGAATATTAGTGTATTCAATTCGAATATTAATCAAATATATTCGATTAATAATAATAGTAATATTAATATCAATAATAATAATAATAATACTCTGTACTATGTAATAGTAATAACAATATAATAACTTTTAAAAGATGGCAATACCCTTAAAGTGTAGCTCATATTTACATTTTTGCATACAGATTTCAAGCCCATTTGTAATAAATCAGAATATGAATACGAATACAAATCAATTTTCGGTTCAGATGTCTTTCAAATACAATACAAATAATTATGTATTCGATTTGAAGATTAAAAATTAGAATTGTTTGACTTTGATATATACAATTATCAATCTATTTCACAGATTATAATTATAATATCTAATATGTATGTGTTAGTGTTTATTTCAAAAAGTTTGAAATAGATTTATATTCATTAATCATAAAATTAATTCAATTTACTATATTGTGCACCATCTAAAAATGCATTGATCCATTAAACTTAAATTCTAAAAAACATATATTAACTCATAACATGTATTTACAACATAAACAATACGGAGTATAAGAAAAGTTATTTTTAAGTAATATTTGACTAATATTTAACCTATGCTCAAATCGGTTCGATATTCATATATGATTCATTAACTATTCGTATTGTTAAACAAGTACAAATCGAAATTAATATTCGTTTCATATTTGAGTTCGAATTCGTATTCGAAAAAATTAAACAAATACATAGACAAAATTTCATTATTCGACTCGATTCGGTTCGTATACAACCGTACTTTTGATCCTCCGACTATTATATCATTGACACTTTTGGACTTGACTTTGATTATTTCCATTTCTAATCCTCGACTATTGCGCTATAGACACTTTTGGTACCCATCTTTGAAAATTTCCACACTTAGTCCTTCAATTTTCATAAAAGTGACACTTTTGATCCTTCAACTATTATGATAGTGACATTTTTATTCCTCCACTGATTGTGTCAAAATCATAATCAAAGGACTAAAAGTGTCAATTTGATAATACTATATGTGGGAAGCCTTGAAGTCAGAAACTAAAAGTATCTCTAGCATAGTCAAAGATTAAAAATGAAAAAGTTAGAAGTCAAGTACCAAAAGTGTCACTCACATGATAGTCGGGGGACCAAAACTCCAAAAGTGGCAACAACTCTATTTGCATATTTGGATATTCAAGTAAATTTGTTAAAATATCTAAATTATTTTCAACTAAATCTCTCTCTCTATACACACACACACACACATATTATATAGTGGGTTTTGCGCAAGAATAATCATAACACATGAGTTTAAAGCATGTTTTAAAGGATTATTAGCTTATTTTATCCCAAACTACCATCAAATTCACAAATATATCCTTTTCTTTCACCTTTATCCAAAAAACTCAAACTTCATCTTTTTAAACAATTATGCTTTCTCTCTCTCAAAATTACACATTTTTATCAATACCAATAAGATATAAGCAAAACAAGTTTGTAAACTTAAAACTAGAAAGAAGTGAAAAATATGAAATATAAATATGATTTTCTTCTTAAGTTTTACTAATTCATGAATTGAAAGTGTAATTGTGAGGAAAGTTGAAGTTTGAGTCTATTTTTAATAAAAGTTAAAGTATGAGATAGATTTGTGAATTTGGGGTATATTTAGCTAATAATACTTTTTTAAATCACATGAGGTTTGATGCATTAAACGTAGAGGTGGACCCGGTCCGGAACTGAGTCTGACACTACCTGGAACCAGACCAGACCTTTTTTTGAGCCTGAGACCGATCTTGTCCGTCCGAGCGGGATACATGGTCCCGGTTCACATATTTGGGGACCAAATAGGACAGTTCGGGGTTCGGTTTTAATCCTAACCCAGAATGTTTTTCTAGCCTTGGAAACGGGCAAGAATTAAAAAAAAACGAGACTAGCTCCGGAACCGGACCGCTTGGGTTCCCATAGTCAGACTATACCTAGATGTATTGGATCGTCTCGGGCTTCTTTAAACAATGGCCGGGATCAGCCGAGCCAGGACCAAAATCGGGGTCAGGGATGGATTGATTCCACCTCTAATTAAACCCCATTTGATTCATCAAATGAGAGAGGAGCGATCACCTCGGAGCAAGTAAGAATAGATTCCAATTTCAGTTTTTTTGAAGTGGCTGATCTTTTTTATTTGTACTCCAATTTTTACATAAAAAATATATCAAAATTCATAACTGTTTATGGAGATTATGGAGATTGATGTTTAATTTGATGGAGATCTTTAGGCCATTTTCTTTTCTTCTACATCTAAGTGCTAAAACTAAGATGTCATGAATTTTTACATGTAAATATATGACTTTTTCAATCATAGTTACTCGCAAAAAAGTATTCATAAAAAATTGATTTGTAACTATAGAAGGAAGGCTTTAATTTAAAACATACTGAGCAAATATTTTTATGGTGTTGAATCCCAGTAAAGAACTAAATTGACTAAATGCATTGGTATAAACTGGTGAAAATTTTGATTTATTGACAAAGAAGGTTGCGGTTAGCCTTGTTAAACTTAATTGTGGGATAATAGTAGAAATCGTAAGTAGGGGTGGGCAAATATGTACAAGAGGGAGTCAGACTGCAATTAAGAAATTAGTACATATTTTTAAGATAGAATTTGATTTGGGCTGAAATTTTCTATTATCATGAAATCATAGTGCCATATTATGGCATTACAGGACATTAATATGTTAATCTTAATGTCATAATATAAGAATATGATTTCAGAATTACAATATTGATCCTTATTTAAGAAACCACTTCATTATTACTTTTTTTGCATATCACTTTATGATTACGACTCCATCATTTGCAATGGAACCAAAAACTCATTATTTTTTTGCTTGAGAATATGATGGAATAAAGCAAAATGGCTCATTAAATTGTCTGCGCTTCTTTGTATGAAGCAACTACCAGTCTATGCAATTTTTGACGCAATTTTCACTATGGGTCATCAGGAAACGGTCTCTTTGTACTCTAGTACAGGGGTAAGGTTGCGTACATCCGACCCCCCCTTACCCCACTGTAGGTGGTAGCCTCTGCGGCACTGGGGTAATGATGATGATCATCATCATTTTATGATTACTCTTATTCACGGCAACCCAGGTGGGCAGGGGATTTTAGAGAAATAGTAGTATTGGTCACTGGAATTGGAAAATCTGAGGTATTACAATCAGAATGAAGGGGTTGTCCATATAATTACCAATAATAAGGAACTGAAAGCTTTTGTTGATCTATAGCCAAATTGCCATAAACATTGCGCTAAAGTTTAGTGCCTCCGCCATCAGACATGAGAGAAGCAGCAGCTGCCGCAGCCGTAGGAACAACCCCAGTTGAGTTGCCTGGTTTCGACAAATGCAGCAGCCTACACGTATACAGAAATTCAGACGTTAGCGATACAAAACAATCCCACAAATTTAGAATTAGGGGCTCTTTCAAAAGGCCTACATTTTCTCAAAGAAAAATGTTCATTAGCATCCATTTAAACCAAAAGAGATCAATGGATACTTGATTTGATGCTATGCAGTATGCAGAATAACCAACGTGTTCTACTAAGGGAGTGTTTGAGATTGTTTGTGCTACTAAAAAGTGATTTTTTCAAGAGATCATTGAAAAAGTGATTTATAGTAAAAGCATGTAGTGTCTGTACAAATGTGATTTTTGATGTGATATTTTGTTAAAGACAAAAATGCTCCCTGCATAATAAATTAAATATTACGTACTAAAAAAGCCTAGCAACAGATCGTGGAGCTACAGGATACCTATGGCTTCTTCATCAGTTTCACCCATTTATGCTCAAGACTCATCTACCCATCTCTCACGCTAATTTTATTCTAGAATTTTGATTTTTCTAATTTTTATACCCTTCAGATGTGCTCAATTGAATGTTGCTTTGGCTAGCCCCAAAGCAGTGATGGTGAAGCCCCCAAAGAGCGCCAGCTTGAGGAAAAAGGGGCTGAGAGTCACGCCGTAACTTGGCTGATTTTGGAACTTGGTTGGTATCTATCTCCCTGGGGATGACAAGTGATATTTGGGTCTGGGGCTTACCATGTTCACCGCGGCCAGAGGATGGAATACACCGGAGAAGTTAGTGAAATATAGCGGTGATTGAAAACTTTGTCAGCAAAGAAAATGTTTTTGCAGACAAGAGTAAGTTGAGATTTGGGAAACTGTAGAGGTATAAAAGTCTTTTCATAGTTCAACAAATTTACAAAAAACCGTAAAAGCACATATAAGCATCTCCAATTCTCCATACACGCTTCCAGCTATATGCTTAAGAAAACTTTAAATTAAGCTGAAGTTTGGAGTTGCAAACACTCCTTTTAACTTATTTCAGAAAAAAAGTTCAAAAGCACTTCTAAAAAGTGATTGCGAACACCCCATAAACACTGTCTAAGAGCCCATTTGATGAGGTTATATTCGATTAAAATTGTGGGTGATGTTGATAAAGTTGATGAAATTGCCGAGTAGCTATCAATTAACTGAATTAAGAATCAAGCAAGATGAAAATAATCAGAATGATTGAAAATATCAACTTAAGACTTAAGATATCATTAACTTTGAACTTTAATGTTTTAACTTTTAATTAATATATACTACCTCCATCCCAGTGGACTATGCCAAGTGCAAAGTAGATGAGAAATAAGAATAGTAAAAACTGTGGGGTTGAGATTTGTGCAGAGGAGAGAGAAATGTGCAGAACCACAAATTAGTTACTTTAATATGAAAGAGGCAAAGTTTTTTGGGACAACTAAAAAGGAAAGTTGGCAAAGTCCAACGGGTCGGAGGGAGTATATTCATAGATTTGTTCTTTTGGGACTAAGGCTTGGATGTTGTTGTTGTATTCATTGATTTGTTGAAATTTATATATTTTCCATTGAGAAAATTTTATTAAAAAGGTTTTCAGCTGCTTCATTGATAACTCACTTTTATTCCAGGTCTGGAATCGAAATAATCCCCCACACAGACATGCACTATTATAATTTTATGTGTGCGTGAGCCAGAAAAAGACTACAATTATCACCTTCAAAGAAAAAATGACACCTAATCTAAGTTTTCTCATTATTAACAAATTCAACAGGCTCAAATGAAAAAAGTTGTTAGACAAACAGCCACTAAAAGTCTATGACCAGTTTCTTCTCTAAATTAAAAACTCAAAACAGAAGATGCCATTCAAATTTATAAGGTGAAAAGTGAAAGGAGAAACCATTAGTAGAGGCACTTACGGTGCAAGATATTCACAGAATGAAGAAACAGAAGCAGCAACTTCTGAGTAGTTTTCAGACGATGCAGGTGCCGTCACTTCGACTAGTTGTATGCCTGGGGTTACAGGTACAGCATCATCCGTGGAGTGCAGTTTAAGCATCTTATTTATGGACGATACGGTAACAGTTATGTTTGCCCCTCTCTGGAAATGAAACCCAAACCCAACTCTCAATAACTCGTGGTCTAATTTGTAGCCAAGGCAGTTAAAGACTCGGAGTGCGTTCTTGCTCACTTTGCTTTCTACCACTGTTCTCACTAGAACTGAGATCTGATCAGCACCGGATCCTCTCATCGCTCCGCCAATGTGTCGTACAGTCCTGAGAACTTGGTGGTTTTAGATGGAACTTAGGCTCTGTTTGTTTCCAGCAAAATAAGTTGTTGTGGAACAATGTTTGCTATGGATTATAAGTTCTTTTTATGTACAATACTACGTATAACGTCTGACCTACAAAAAATAGAATCTGTTTCAGGAAAACAGCATCCAGTTTTCAAAACAATGTTTTTTTGTGACAAAAATGCATCTAATTGGAACTCCAAGTATGCTTGAGCAATAAAATAGGGAGGACAACATAATGAAACTTGGAAAAGAGAGAAAAATATATGTGTTCAAACTTGATAATTTTTTATTTTATTTCTTCACTCATTTTATTTACTTATTTCCAGTCCATAAAGAATAACAAATCTAAACATATGTACAACTTTTGAAAATACTAATCACCTTTCATACGCCTTTATATTTTCGTGGTTAAAACAAAGACATGGAAGTAACTTCTCTTAGCATTTTGTTTTCCTTTCCCTAGCATTTCCAGGATCCAATGTTACCCTAAAATCAAGTAAGATATTTTACTCCAGTATAATGTTTTCTATTGCAAAAATGTAGGGAAAAATATATTTACCTGAGCAAAATACAACATGATAAAATAGTTTCCAAAATATCCTTATAAACACGCAGAGCCTTACCAAGTCGGTTCAGGTTGCTCAAGATCACATATGAGGCGAATTTCAGAGCCTACTAACCCTGAAAAAAAAAATAACTTGATTAACAGCATTAACTAGTAATTTTGAAGGATAAAGATATACTACCATTCAAAAATCACATCCACCACATATGAAGGCCAGAATAGTCACCTAAGTTTGACACACTTTTAATGCATAATTCATGTATCCTTAGGCATTCTTTATGGACACCGCAAAGTCCTTGAAGTAGAATCTCAAGAGCTTCCACATGCTGCAGGGAAAACAAATAAACTTTAATCCTGAAACTTATCAGTACTTCAGTATTAGTAGTAACTACGTAGTAAAATGTCAACAAATGCTGACCCCCAAGTCAAACCTCCATGATATTGAACCCTAGGGCATAGTATAGAACGCGTTACCCAGTTTACCACTTTAGTATATTTCTTTAATCCCAATGCATCAAAATCCTTCATTGGACTAATTTGATGATGAAGATGACCTCCGTGTTGCTATTATTTTCTCAATTTAACACTGCATTATCTGATTTGGCTCCAACAGCGCTTAAATCGCATCAAATTTGCAAAAATCCAATACTAATTCGGATTTTAGAATTTAAATGTTAAGTCCAGAGATAAATTGAAAGTTTGAAACAAAATCAATGAACAAAAATCGAGTAAAACGACTTGTTTTAGTCTGGTCTGCATCTAAAATAAGCGCAAATAAACAGAATACAGATAAACAAAGAAACTTACTTGGGTCTCGATAATTCCTTGAACTACGCACTCCATTCTGCGTCACTCAAGCACGAAGTCGAGCAGGCGAATTAATGGGAAGAAATCAGGTGGCAGAGCCGAATGGAAGATTGAAAAACATCGGAGTTGGGCTTTAGTCGAAATGTAATGCGTCAAAAGGTCAAATAAATGTCCAAACCCGGTTCAATTACTTAATTATACCAATTACCTTCCAGCATTCTAGCATATTGATGACTAGCTTTCAAGCCCGTGCGATGCACGGGTAGTACATAATTTAGCTAACTATATATTTGATATTTTCGAAATCATATATAATTAATAAAAGTAATTCAAATTTATATGAAAAATATTTAAATTGGACTTCTACATAAGCATCTCAACTAAACATAATGGTTATGAACCCGATTTTAAAGAATTCATACAAAAGTTTCTTAATTAATTTCACATCCTCTATATTACTTCATTAAGCATCTAAAAAACTATTTTTAAATATTTCTCATTCAACATGTGGTATGAAATAAGTATTTGTAAATTTATTAGTGAGCTCTTACATTGTATTCATTATTTTGTCACATTGAAATGTAAAAAAGGGATCATTTTTACAATTTACTCATTTATTTCGTCACATTGAAAATGTCATTAATAAGGATATTTTTAATTAGATTGACATGTTCATTTCTAACTTGGTCTGGAAGATGTCTATTTTATGTATAATAATAATAATAAATATTATTATTATTATTATTATTATTATGATTGATATTTGATCCGATCTTGTCTAAGGCTGAAACCAGACCAATTAAAAACACCCTAAATGTATGAAGATTTCCTAATTTAGATTAGGAATCTATGTCAAAAGTGATGGAAAATCTAAATTGTAGTTGTAAAAATAAAGAAACAACTAAACATGTTTACTTTTTTGTTGGGCTAAACGTATTCATATATGTATGATATGAATTTTCATTTCCATCCTTATAAAGGTATGATACTTGATCAGAAGTTTTAAATGTTTTCATATATGAATGTCTAATAGTATATATCAATTTCATTTTTAAGTTTAAAAAATCTTGTGGTTATAATTTTCATCATTATCTCAACAATTAAGAAAGAACGGTATGATGATGCGAAAAATACGAAGTATTAACACAATTGCAAATATAAGTCTGATAACTTTAGTCATTATCACATTGAGTTTAGAAAACATTCAAAAAATTGAGTTTAGAAAAATAAAATATTACTCCGTACTTTTTAGGAAATGGAACACTATTATTACTTTATTTATAAAATAACTTTGAAGAACAAAATTGATAGGAACTTGGATGATTTATTTGTTAGGTGCGCAAAACACGAATAATTCACTTCTCAATAGAATGTAATCAAAATAAAAGTATAAAAATAATTAAATTAAATAAAGTCTATGTGCACGGATGACTATTTATTGTTGTGGTTGCAATAATTGCTTATTTTAATAGCAATCCATATTACTACACAGTAAGTAGTAGATTCTGAAAAAGTTATTAAATAAGGTGGATTTTATCATACGCGACGGTCTTTTGTTTTCATATCAATATGTAATAAAAAATAGAATGTAATAAAAAAAAGGTATAAATAGTAATTAAATAATTGTTATATATAATGACATGACAGGATTATGTGGCACGCCAGATGCTCTTAAAATTCCTCTTTTATATATAATTTAATAAATATCCATATTAATACGGAGTAAGTAGTAGATTCTGAAAAAGTTACCAAATAAGGTGGATTCTATCATACGATCTTTTGTTTCCATATCAATATGCAATAAAAATAGAATGTAATAAAAACAATAAAATGTATAAATAGTAATTAAATAATTGTAATATATGATGACATGGCAGGATTATGTGGCGCACCATATGCTCTTAAAAAGTTCCTCTTATATATATATATTGATTTAATAAATATCCATATTAATACAGAGTAAGTAGTAGATTCTGAAAAAGTTACCAAATAAGGTGGATTCTATCATACGATCTTTTGTTTCCATATCAATATGGAATAACAATAGAATGTAATAAAAACAATAAAATGTATAAATAGTAAATAAATAATTGTAATATATGATGACATGACAGGATTATGTGGCGCGCCGTATGCTCTCAAAAAGTTCCTCTTATATATATATATATATATATATATATATATATATATATATATTGATTTAATAAATATCCATATTAATACAGAGTAAGTAGTAGATTCTGAAAAAGTTACTAAATAAGGTGGATTCTATCATACGATCTTTTGTTTCCATATCAATATGCAATAAAAATAGAATGTAATAAAAAAAATAAAATGTATAAATAGTAATTAAATAATTGTAATATATGATGACATGGCAGGATTATGTGGCGCGCCGTATGCTCTTAAAAAGTTCCTCTTTTATATATATATATATATTGATTTCTAGGATTCTAGCATATTATTACTATGCCGAATTTCTTGCTCATTTTATACTATGCATGTTTCCCACTCTCTCTCTCGATTTAACCTACCCCTAAGACCATTTGGAGTGGTGTGAGAGTCAAAATGTCAAAAATAGACTCCGTCCGTATGAAAAACAATGTTTTGACTCTTATTTTTCTGCATTTCAGCACCGTCAATAAAATATACTTTGCACATATTTTTACATATCAATTTAGTAAAACATTAATTAAATTATTATAAGTAATATTTTTCTTTTTAATTTAATCCCTGAATAATTTTGAAGTAAAAATACACATTTCGATGTAAAAATAAATAAATTCATTAAATCTTTTTAATATTTTTCGGTTAACAAAAATGAACTTAGTTCAAGTAAAGTTCGGTTACGGAATATTAAATTATTTGTGAAGGCTACATGACTTTAAAAATTGTGTTTTGTATTTTTTTGGGCTCATGAAAATTTCAACAGTTAAAATTTCAGATTTTTTTCATTTTAAATATTACATATTGGTGTCATATGAAAGAGTATAAAAAATTATGAATTTTGATATATTTTTTTTTAAATTTGATTTATGAAAAAACAAATTATAACCATTTTAAGAAAGATGGAGTTTTATTTTATGGAGCCCACTAACTACCCACCACTCATGATTCCTTTCTTTTTGGCAAAGTAGCACTTCCATCAGAGTCAATCGGCCGGCTAAAATTGGATTCCTCCCTCCCCATCTCCATTTTTAGCCTCCTATAATGCTCTCCAATGTAGGAAATTAGGAGGCTAAAATCTCCACTTTTAACATTTTAGACTCCTACAAATGGTTAATAAAGTCAATAAAGTCATCGGTATATGCCTTCTATTTTGTTTCAAGTGAACTGAGAAGCTAATAATTTTTGCTACACTCAAGTAAGATTATGGTTATTTGGATGGAAGGTCAAGAGATATCCATTCACTTTATAAATTTGTATATATGTTAAAAAGGCGTCAAATGAAAGATGGAGTTGCAAAATTCATATGAAAGTCAAAATTGTGTCAGTTTGGTCAGTTTGGTCCTCGAAGATGGAAGGTCAAAATTCATAATTTTTTATACTCTTTCATATGAGTAAAGAGTCAGTTTGGTCCTCGATGTTGCAAAAAAGGCGTCAAATAAGTCCTTATATAGAAGATTCTGTCCGGACGTGTCATTTGAGGTGGCTCCCGGTGGAATTTTGTGATAAATTTTTTTGAGCATCTTATTCATTAAGTCTAGTTTACTCATACCAAATTTCAGCTAAAAATTCAATCGGGAAGACATTCAAATGAATTCTTGAAGATAACAGCGCTTTTAACGGCACAGTTATCTTCAAGAATTCATTTGAATGTCTTCCCGATTGAATTTTTATCTGAAATTTGGTATGAGTAAACTAGACGTAATTAATAAGATGCTAAAAAAAATTTATCAAAAAATTCCACCGGGAGCCACCTCAAATGGCACGTCCGGACAGAATCTTCTATATAAGGACTTATTTGACCCATTTTTTTGCAACTTCGAGGACCAAACTGACCCTTATTCCTGTGTTAAATGGTGTTAATTTAAGACAATTGAGTTTTGCTTATTCGACTTGTGAAGCGGTCCACAAAGATTTCGAACTCATTTAATGGTATTATTATAACAATAGTATGGCATTTATACATATGCATTATTATATGTATAAACAATTATAAAGTGTAAGAAATATGGTAAAATCTTAGTTTTTACCCCCAACATGATTTCTTTAAATCCCGGCCTCCTAACTTGTAGTTTCTTGCTCCATCCCTTAGTGTTTCGTTTCATTTTAACAAATGAAAAACTTGATCCACTATTAGGGTGTTATAAGCGTAAATTAACTTGGCATTATAGGCCTATGGAAAATGCTAGGGGTACACAAGTTGTACACAACTTGTACACACAATGTCGGTCACAAACAATTGGTATGGAGTTGCATGTGACCACAGATAAGAGTTGTCTGTGTACACAGACAAAATTTGTCTGTGTCCACAGACATTTACTTTTTTTTGTAAAAAGTACACTGAGAGCCGTCTGACACTGACAAGTACTTTTCACAAAAAAGTAAATGTCTGTGGACACAGACAAATTTGTCTGTGTACACAGACAACTCTTGTCTGTGGTCACAGGCAACTCCGTACCAATTGTCTGTGACCGACATTTTGTGTACAAGTTGTGTACAACTTGTGTACCCCTAGCATTTCTCATAGGCCTATAGGAGCATCTAAAGAAACACAATTTTCTTAAAGTAGTTTAAAGTTATAGATATGTTCACACCTTTTTGTTTGCCATTCATGTATTTTTTTGCTGATAATGTTTCCTTTCCAAATTAAAGCAAAACATTATGTAATAGGATAGTTCATAAAATATGGGAAAAAACATGAGAGTAAATAAAAGTATAAGATTAAAGATGAAAATTTAAAAAAAACGAAGAGAAAGAGAAACGAGTACTACGGTACTACCTGAGGTAGGTAAGAGGAAAATTGGGTTAAATGTATCCAAAAGGAATGTGAAAATAATTTCTGAAACGGAATAGAACAAACAATAGAACATAAAATTATTTGATGATGAACAAAGAACTATTTGAAAACAATAGAACATAAAACGATAGATATTTTATGAACAAAGAACTATCAGTTGATTTTTTTGTGAAGCTATTTTTTTTGCAGAGAAATATCTATAAGAGAAATTGAATTAACTTTTCTTAACTCATACATTTTTTTCATGTAATATTAATAATATTTGCCTTTGATACGTTCATTTCGTAATGTGATACTATATTAAAACATAATTTTTTAAATATTGTACGTGCTAATTTTTAGTATAATAGAAAAATGGATTAAATAATTAACTCATTGCAAGGATGGGGTGGACAAAAATGTGGGGCTTTTTATTCATCCAAAGTTTCAACATTTTTTCTTGCAGGCAATGACTAATGTTTTATTAACGACGGACAGACGGAGAAAGATACAGGTTGACATCTCGAGGGAGTGCAGATTTTGTCATGAGGATGATGAATCAACGATCTGTCTATTCAAATATTGCAGGCTGGTGGCTGAACTATGGAGCAAAGCAGGGATGGATTTGAGGCGCACGACCAATTCCTTGCAGGATTGGGTGGAACATATTTTTAACACCATCACACAGGAAGAATTATGGAGATTTATCTCAATATTGTGGAGTATTTGGAAGGAGTGCAACAAAGTGATTTGGAATAATAAAACCTTCAATCCATCACATGTAATCAGTATTGGAGCTCCAATGCTTCAAGTTGGCGAGCGGCCCAAGGCATATCAGCAGTGCCACATTGAGGGGTGGAATCGAGAACCAAATGGATGAGACCTGCTCCAGGGGAAATAAAAATCAATGTGGATGGTGCAATTCATGATCAGAGGAGCAGAAGAGCTTGGGGTTGGGTAGCGAGAGATATAATTTTATGGGCAGCAGTTGGGATTCTTGCAGAGCAGACTCGCCAGTCAAAATAACGGAGGCCATAGGGGTGAGAGAGGCATTAGCTTGGGCGAAAAGGAAAGGATGAAATCGAGTGATCCTCGAGACGGGTGTGCAAATTTTCACCACTAGCTTAGAAGGTGATTCTGGAAATTCCTATTTTAATGTGGTAATTGAAAATATCACATAAAATCTTAATTCTGAAGCTAGTTTTATTGATAGTTATTGTAAACAATCCACGAATCGTGCAACTAACAGTTTTGCTAGGGGGGTCCTTTCTCAAGCGGGTTGTAGCGGTTTTGATTACTGTCCTGAGCGTATATGTAAGCCATCTAACGAGCGATTGCCTTGATTAATATAGTTATTGGCTTTTCTTTTTTTAAAAAAATATTAACTTATTTAGAACTTTTAGTAGAAGAGTAGAAACCATTTTTGTTCCCAAGTATCCACACCCAAAGAACTTATTACATTTGACATTAGAACGATTAAGAGCCCGTTTGGTAGCACGAAAATCAGCTGTTTTGGCTGATTCTGCTGAAATTTATGAAGTTCTGGCTGAAGTAGCTGCTTTGGCTGTTTCTGCTGATTTAAGTAAAAATTATTTTTAAAATATATTTTATTTATGAAATAAAGAAAAAGTTATATGTAAAAATAGCTAAAATGGTAATCTACAATAACTTCAGCCAATACAGCCAGAAAAGTAACTCTAACCTTACTTTTTCTGCTTATTACACAATTCAGCGCGCGAAAATAAAAGTTACGTGTTTGGTGAAAATGTTGGCTGATAAGCCTGATAAGCCGAAAAAGGATATTGCCAAACGGCCTCTAACTATGTTTCGATGTCTCAATTGCCATGGGAAAAAATATTTTCAAAAGAAGATCATAGCTATCCTGAAAGTTGGTGTATAAATTCTTAGGAAACTCAAGGAGTGTTTGGGTTTGCTTAAAAAAAGCGCTCTTCAACTTTTGGCTTAAAAAAGTTGAAAAAAGTGTTTTCAAATGACAGCTTCTGCTTAAATTAATCACTTAAAAGCTAAAAGTTGGAAGCAGGTAGAAGGGTGTTTTAAACTGCTTCTCACTTTTTCTATTACACAAAAAGTACTTATTTTACCAAACACTACCAACTTTTACTTGTCCAGAATCACTTTTTTTACAAACACTACCAACTTTTACTATTAATCACTTTTCCCAAAATCACTTTAAAAAATCACTTTTTTAAAGTTGAAGCAATTGCAAACACTCCCTCAATTCATCAACTATATATAACTCACATGGTAGGTCAGTCAAGTAAGTGGTCATCACCAACAATACTAAAGGTATAAAAAGAATGTTATGAATAGGTTCACTGTATATCCAATAAAAGTAACCATATCAAAATAATACTGGTGCAATGTCTATACATCAAAAGAACCACAAACAAGACGTTGTATAGCTTCAAAAGTGTCACTTTTGAAGAGTTCTGCCACTTTAATTAATGTAAAAATTGAAAATTATTCAACAAAGTTTCACTGAACTTTTACTTACAAACTCAATAGAGGAAGAACTTCTCTGTGTAGTCACCAATTGATCGAGATTGATTTTCAATGATCCGCGGAGCGGCATCATCTCTACTTTAGGGTTTTTATATTTAGGGGGGCTCTTAATTTAATGGATTCTCTAGTTGGAGGCTTGCATGAGAAATAGGACGGGAGGAGGATTGAAAATGAAACAAAAAATCTAAACCTGAAAGACAAACATTACCTCTAAGGATGTAAGTATATATTTTCAAAACTGGCACCTGATGCACCATGCCCATGGTACAATCGGTTGTATATTATAGTATGAAGTTGAATATCGTGATAGACCAACATAAGGCCCTAATTGTATAATTCTCAATTTTGTGTTATGTACTTGTATGTTATAACCATTACCATTGAACTCTATGTACTACCTGGGACCAGAGAGCTCCATGGGTAGTGCAAGTGAGTGTGAGTCAACAACTTGACCCGAAAATCGTTCTGATGAAGACATTGTTTGTGCTCTAGATCTACTGCTGTTACTGTTGCTAGTGATTGGTTCTATTTTATGGGATGCTTCAGACCACTCTGAATGCCCATCACCTTCCAGCATTCGAACCACCTCACACATCTTTGGCCTTCGTCCGGCAGCGTATTGGGTGCATAGCAAAGCAACTTGAACCATCTCGCCTACCTCCATCTCATCGTATTTGTTTTCCAACTCTTTATCAACGAGTTCGTTCAGTCTCTTCTCTTGGTAAACTGTCTTCACCTGAACATTTTACACCATACGTCAAAAAAATATTGTTTGTTAAAAGTGTTTTTTTAAAACCATATAAGAAATAATAACAATTAGCAATGATGCTTTTCCTTGCGGTATTGCTAAAGTGATACTTATGGACAAAAATATGACTATTTTCAAAAGTTGTAATAAATTGAGTATATATTTCATTGTCATTGATTTCAATGGGTCACTACTAGTGAGACATTATCACCTTTCAGACACCATCCCGCATTTCACCGAGACTGTTGACACCTTTTTCTAGTGACTTTATGACTTACAAAATTAGAAAACTTTGCTTGTTTTGAAGTTTTTTAGTCACAAAATCATATTTTAGCCAACCAAATGGAAAGTCATTTCCAAATGCTCAAAGTTTTTTTTTTGAGAGGAAGAAGACAAACAAGTTTAGTAGCCACAATTTGTTACTTAAACTTTTTTATGCTTATTGGCGGAAGAAACATCATAAACGTGTTATTTATATATAAATTTATATATTTGAAAGAGAAAGTCCTCATATTATGAATAAAGCAAAGTAGAAGTACAAAAATAGGAGTAGATGTTCAAAATGAGAGAAAATTGTAAGTAGACAAAATTGTACATGATGGACAGCCATGTCACGCAGCCTCTGTCGTAGGGAAGCCACCTCTAAACCTTATATGGAATCGGCAAACTATTGAAAAGCTAACGCTAAACCCTAACACAAACTCTAAGGACGTGTTTACTTCGCTGCTTAAGTCACAGTTAGGCTAGTAAGACACGTGAAGTAAACACACAACTGCTTACTAACCGAAACAGACGCTTAAAGTGCCGCTTACCACCCATGTATTTATTAAACCTTTTCAGTTTCGGAATATGCCAACACTCTTACCCTTTGACCTTACCCCTTACTATAACCCCTACCCTACCCCTAACCCTCCTCTTCCCACCCACCCCTAACCCCCCTACCTTAACCCATCCCTGTACCTCTAACCCCCTAGCCCTCCCGCTACCTATACGCGTACTCTTACCCACTCCCAGGGGTGTATGTACTATGGGGGCAGTGGGGGCAGCTGCCCCCTCTCAACTCCCACCCAACCCCCATATATATGTATATAAAATATAATTTATATACACACAAAATTGATTAGTTTGTATACAAGTACACTAAAAAGCAGTCATGAAACACGAGCTATGTTAGACAAGTTGGGGCGAAGCCTTAGGCCTAGTTTCCAGAGCAGACGCGAGGTTTTGGGATCAAATCCCTACAAGTCTACAACTGCAATTTTGTTTTCTAATTTTAATTTTGCACTCTTGAATAAGCATTGGGATATTTGTTTGATTTTAGCCATATCTTAACCTTTTATAAATGTTGCAAGCAATCTCAATCTTCATTTTGACAAACAATTGATATAAATTTTGGAATATGTTATAAATTTAGTTACGTATAATATAATACGTAGTATAAAATTTTCTCTTAATATTATAATTGTTGATTGCACTACATAAAAAACGTTATAGTACATTTTCAATTTAAATTATTCTAATGACATGCATTACTTGTTTCTTGTTAAATTTATTTTTATTAGATTTCACTAGAGTACAAACAATGTTATTACTATGTCGTATTATAAATTGAAATTTTAATCATATAAAATTCTAAAATATGTGAATCTAATTTTTGGATGAAATAAAAAGTTACGTATTGATTTTTTTTTGTTGAATAAAAACTCATTATTTATTGCCTATTCTAAAATATCGTATTTATAGTGCAAAATTCGCCCCAGCTCAAAATAATTTCTGGATACGCCACCGCCCACTCCTACACCTACACCTCCCTTGCCCCTGCCCCCACTCCACCCTGAGTTAGTGATTGTACCCCTACCACCCCTACCCTACCTACCTTACCCAGACCCCACCCGCCCCACCCATTCCCCGTACTCCTAACCCCCATTCCCCTACCCTTACCCCTACCAAAGCTAGTGCCCGTACCCTCGTACGGGAACCCACCTTCGACAAGTAGGGGTAGGGTAGGGTGTAGGTTGGAGTAGGGGTTGTTTACATGAATGTTTGTGTGTCTATATATGTATACGGTTATTTTGGACATTTTAATGTTAAACGGTGTTTTAAATCATGTAAAGTAAACATGAGTTTATAGCACAACTTATTTTACGCGCCGCTTATTAACGAAAGTCGTAATAAGCACCGCTAAGTAACCTGTGAAGTAAACATGTCCTAAATCCCTAAAAGGTAAAGAGATATTGAAACTAGGATTTTGAAGATTTAAAACATATCGCCTATCTTGGTGCTTTTATGACATTTCAGTCACATTTGAGGCAATTTCTTTATTTGGAAAGGACTTCTCCAAACACCATCTTTTAGGAAATCTAAATCAGTCAAATAAGTCTTATGAAAGGGCAACAAAAGGTGAACTCACCCAGTCAAGCATGACATCATTGTTATTAGTGACTTTGCCGAACTCGAAAGCTTTAAGGCCAGTGATGAGTTCAAGTAGCAGGATCCCAAATCCAAAGACATCTGTCTTCTCAGAGGATTGCCCGGTAGAGAGATACTCTGGGGCTATATGCCCCACAGTCCCTCGTACGGCGGTGGTGACATGTGATGCCTCACGATCCAGCAGTTTTGCCAGCCCGAAATCCCCCACAACTGCCTCATAGTACTCATCCAGTAGTATATTTGCTGCCTTTACATCCCTGTGAATTATCTTTGGATCACACTGCTCATGGAGATATAACAGCCCCCTGGCTGCTCCTATTGCAATTTGCTTCCTTCTGTCCCACTCCAGCACTGGCTTCACTATCATATCATATGTAACTCTATTAGTAACTCTATTGAATAGCTAGTTCAAAAGAGTAGTATACAAACCTGCCACTTATATATGGAGTACATTTTATTTTATTGGTAAAATAAAGACAAATACATATGAAATAACAGTGCAAGCACACTATTTTTTATTCTTTATCAATCATGAACTAGTTAGTACCTTGTATTTGGAAAAATGGGTGTTCACTAAAATATTGTATAACTAAAACTTAGAAACAAAGTAGAATTGAACAGTCATGATCATTGAAAGTTACTACTATCCTTAGCGTATAAGGTACTATAATGATCTATAAATATAAAAAGTCACATTTTTACTCAATATGTATATTTTAGTCATATATTGCTCAATTGTTTCTACAAGTACGCCTGATAAGTCTAAAAGTGATGACTAGACGTTCACTTTGTTCTTCACAAAGAGTAAATGTCATTGTGGAACCAGTGGCGAACACAAAGGGTGGCATTGGGGGGCTGCTGCCCTTCCCAAAAAAAAATTCTAAGGTATATTTACCCCGAAATTTTTAATATATATGTATTTGTATGTATAATTTTGTACTGCCGCCCCTTCTACCAGGAATTCCTGCGTCCGCCGCTGTGTGGAACGCTAGCATGACTTAGTATTGACTTGAATCCATGGCCAAATGCCAACTTTAATTTTGCATTCTGACTACAGTGCAAACTATGCATAAAGTGTTATCTTTTTGTACCATTTTTTCGGCCATGTTGTACAGAGTAATATCTACTAAGAGACTTCGGACTCTATCCTAAAAGTTCAATAACAATGTTGCAGTGTTGCACGGAATTGCAGAAAATATGAAGCGGAATAATGTTTTTTTTTAAGTTTCTGAAACTCAAACATATTTCTTCAAGAGAGTTTCCACACACCATAGTCAATAATAATAATAAAAGTAGCAATCGCAAACATGGGATTTTCTAGCGAAAGGTCTCGAGTTCGAAACCCGCTAGCCACATAAGGGTTAAACTCAATGGAGTGAGTTTCAACCCTGATTACTCCAGGCCCCCCAGACCCCCCCCCCCCCCCCCGGAGTAAAAAAAACATGGGATTTTCTATCATAAAATTAAACGTGATTGAAAGATTAGTCCAACGTCTTCTATTTGTATTATATGGCTTAAGGGTGAGGACATACTAATTAAACATGAGATGGTACTTAGTAGTAGGAGTACCTCTGAGACGTGAAGCAACACTGCCATTGGACATATAAGGGTAAACCAAGAGCTTTTCTGTTGGGGTCATACAGAACCCTAACAACCTAAGAAGATTCCTGTGGACGGCCAAGCTTATTGTCTTTATCTCTGTCTGCAACTGTTTCTCACCTCCAGAAGCATTCCCATCATTCAGCCTCTTCACCGCCACGACGGTCCCGTCCCTTAGATTACCTTTGTAAACAATTCCATAACCGCCTTTTCCTAAAATGTTTTTGCTGCTGAAGTTGTTTGTTGCAAACTGAAGCTCCTTCCATTGGAATCTTCTTAAGTTCTCAAGTGATGAACTTATTTCTTCAACATCCCCTACTAGGAAATCCAAATCCCATCAAATATACTATATACTACTGGCAAGCAAGTTCTTATTTTAACTTTCAAAGACATTTGTAATTTGTATGCAACTATAAAAATTCATAAGCTTTTACCTAAATACATTTTTGAGTCAAACCAAGCAAAAAGTAAAGAAAAAGCAAGGGTAACAGTGAGATTCACTTATTAAAGAATATTCCTTTCATAAAAGTAGAACTTTATACTACCTTTGTCTCATAAGATTGTTATTTTTTGACTTCATTGATCAAAACTCCTGCTGATAATATTACCATGTCTCATTGGATATTGCACACTTTAAGTTGATTGTGAAACAAAAAAAAAGTTGGAAATATGTGCAGAGTAGAGAGAGATGAGCAAAATCATGTATTTATTACTTCAAAAGGAAAGTGGTAATGTTTTTTTAAGACAACAAAAAGGGAAATTGGCAAAGTCTAACACAACAGAGGGAGTACTTTCATACCAAACGACTTAGGATGTTTTCTTTTGGACTGTTTTTAGTCCCAGACAAGACCAGACTTGGAAAATTATAAAATACACAGAGACCAGACCATACCAGACCAGTAAATTTCACACCAAAAGAAAACATCCTTATAATACTGCGTATAATTTTTTTTTTTGTGAGGATGTATAAAATTAATTGAAAAATGTGTTTTTATAAAATTACAAAATGTGTATATTATACTGACATACTATCCTCCGTTCTTTAATTCTTGCAACAGTTTGACTTTCACGTTTGCCAACGCACAACTTTGATTGTCATTATATTTAATGATGTATTAGTAAACATTATAAAAAGTTGATATTTTGGAAATTTACATTGATAGGAGTTCAATAACATTTTATACGAGATAATTTAATTATGTATATTAGCAGAAAATCGTGGTCAAAGTAAGGTATGTGAATAGTGAAAAAATCACAATGTTGCAAGAATTAAAGAACGGAGGAAGGATATAGAATAAAATTGGTCAAAGTTTACACATTTGATAAAAAAAATGTTAAGGCACTATGAAATGGAGCTAGCACATACATACATAGACTGATGCACACATACATGCATATTTGTATATAAATATGTACATATTGAGCATGATATAATTCATGCATTGAGCAATAAATTTCATATTGGCACAAACCGTTTGCATAAAAAAGCGTTTCTTGTTCTTTACGTCTCCTTGACCTGAGGAACATCCCAATTCCTAGTAAGAGTGAACATATGCACCCAATGATAGAGCAAATGACGATGGCATGTTTGTGGTTTTTCTTTTTCCTTAACGGCCGAGCAGCTGGAAATAATTAATGTAACATGTAATCAGGTTACTTTTAGGGAACAATAAGGCTCCGTTTGGTAACCAAAAATGGCGTATTCCACATATAAGTTGAATAAGTGGCTTTTGGCATGTAACATTCACCACACATTTCAAGCAAATAACCTTTACCAAATGGACTCTAACTAAAATTTGAGAAGATTAATGATGAAAACGTTTAACACATACTTCCAGAATTGTTCCTTGTGCGATGGCAGTATGATTCAGCCCCCGTGACGCATATCAGAGGATTTCCAAGAATGCTTCATACACCAAGACAGCCAAAAATAATTCTTATAAATCTACAGAAAAAGATAAAATAAAAGTAAAAAAATAATTCTTTTAACTAAAATATAGCCAACTCACTTGAATGTCTTGGCAGAGAATGTTGGTACAGGCCCACTCAAGTTATTGTTTGATAAATCCCTGAATTAGGAAAATAATACATTAAACTTTTTTTCTTATATGCACATTTTGTTAGTATACAAGTCTTTAAGTCCAATCAAACAAATATATAAACCAACATATAAAATCAAGAACTAAAACAAGGATCTTACAAAAAGGAAAGTTGAGTCATGTTAGTCAACCAAGTTGGAATTTTTCCTGATAAATTGTTGTTATTGAGCCTTCTGATCAAAGAGACAAATGGACTGAATAAGCCGTCAATAAAAGTTGTGGAGAAGAATGAAAGAGCCATACGAATTCTACTTGATCAATATATGTATCTGGAAGGAAGGTGATGCTTACAAGTAATTCAGGTTGGTCAACCGTGCCAAAGCAGGGATTTGACCTGTGAAAGTATTATTGGAAAGGTCAAGTGTGTTAAGATTTGAGAGTTGGCCAATCTCCACTGGTATTGCTCCTGTTATGTTGTTGTTTCTCAACTCTCTGTTAACCACATACTATCTATCTATTAACACTGCAATGTATTTTAAGAAGCATTTTTAGTACTTTTTGGGATATGTTTCATATCTACCAAAGAACTTACAGGAATTTAATGTTTGTCAAATTTCCAATGGTTGGAGAAAGATTACCAGACAAGTCCAGGCTGGGAATTCCCCTGCAATCGTAGCAATTTATCCTTTAATACTTAGCTGATGTGAGACATTTTTCTAAATCATAATGACAAATGTATAATTAAAAATATGAATACCAGATAGCCATTTGCTCATAAGTTTTGTTTTAACACTATTATAGGAAAAAAACTCTTTCAACACAATTCAGTTTTGTGAGTATTGTTCATGGAACATACAATGCCTACAATCAGACATCTCTTCACAGCCAAATATGGGGTACTAGCCAATTCATTTGGAAATGCAAAATCGAGAATTCAACCAATTAACTTTAGTTGGTTTCGATTTAGTTTTATTCTGATGGTTTGTGCCCCTTGGTTTTAGTCAATTTGATCATTTTGAAAGTAAAAGGCTTAAACCGCGTGGTTAATCGGTTTTTATCGATTTCGGTTTTGATTTTGGTTGACTCAGTTCGTCACAGAAACCTCACGATCACACAACTCTGTGGTCAATGTATTTTTTTCCATTACAGACCATGGCTACAAGTCTGTTTGACATTGATATTATGTTAAGAATAAAACTATGACTTACTCAATATCCAAAAGAACTCAGAAAGAAAGTGTGCATTCACTATTCATATTCTGTAAGACTTGAAGAAAGAATTAAAGAAATTGCATTTTCTCTAGGGAGATTAAGATTAACTTACAGGCCAATAACCAAACCTTCATCTGAGCAAGTGACCATATTCCAACTACAAGGATCAACAGCAGTACCATCCCACTTATCAAGTATTCCATTAGGATCCTTTAAAGCAGCTTTTATTCCAATCAAAGCTTGCACTGGAACACCCCATAAAGAAAAGGCTTTACTTTTTTATTTTTTCCTAGATTTTAATGCTTAAATGATAGTTAATTGTAATGAGAGGCTAATTAGTGGAAAATTAAAAATTCTTACCTTCATAGTTCATACCATTAGGAGCTAGCATGCTTGTTGAACAGCCCAGAAAACAAAGAAATGTCATCCACCAATATCCAGCAGCTTTTGCTTCTCTCCTCATTCCAATTCCATCTCTATATCCCCACATTCCAAGAAAAGAGAGAACAAAAACAGAAGCAAAAAAAAAAAACAAGCTTTGAGGTAATTACTATTAAGGGGAATGGAGAGTCAAGATTTAGAACTCAATCTTGAGCTTTCTTGTCAGCAACTCCGCTTTAATGTTAATTTAATTACAATCATATCAGAATATGATCAGATTATCCGGCAACAGAAAAAGAAGCCTTTGAAAAGAGAACCCACATGTCGGCCACTTAAAATGGAATTGAACAAGGCAATTGCGAAGTAAATAATTAATACAGCAGTATTAGAGTTGTGATATTGACTGTGGATAACCATAAAAATTTTAGGGAAGACATACTACCCCTCTAAAAAAAATTGTCATTACAAATAATTTGAATCATGATTTCAAGTAGTATATAATATTATTGAGTTATACTCCCTCCGTCCCTTAAAACTTTGTCAACTTTCCTTTTTTGGATGTCCCACTAACTTTGTCACTTTCCCTTTTAACTAATGAATTTGTGGTTCCAGTTAATTCTCTCTCCTCTGCACAAACCTTAACCACACAGTTTTTACTTTATTAATCCTCGTGCCGGTCAAACATGGCAAAGTTTTAAGGGACGGAGGTAGTAGATTTTATACTTTTATTAAAGTGTTTTAACATGATTTCAAGTAGTATAATATTATGAGTTATAGATTTTATACTTTTATTAAAGTACTTTTAAGAAAGAACATTTTCATATAATTTTTATATTATAAATATTTTCAATAAAAAATAAAGTTAGTCAAAGTTAAAAAAATGGAGAAGTTTTTTTGGGACGGAGGTAGTATATTCCAAATTTCCAATCATTCACTTGATAATTACGTATTATAACCATTGTTTAGTGGATCAAATGCGTATTTTTTTATTCACATTTTTACCTATTCTAAACCTTTACCTACATAAGGCTATTTGCAATGAAAAATGTTTGGTGTACACATTTTGGGGTTTAATGCACCAAACCCCCCTGTGATTTGGAAATTCGGCGCATTAGCCCCCTGTGATTTAAAAAATGCGTCAAACCCCCTTGTGTTTTAATTAATCATGCACAGAACCCCTTTTATGAATAAATTTAACGATTTGAAAATCACTTTACCTAATATTTTGATTGAATATGCAAATAAATATGTCAAAATCTCTGAATCATACAAAAATGTTAATCATTTTTCTTTTATTTGACAATTGAATTTGTTCACATAAGGGATTTGGCGCACGATTAATTAAAACACAGGGGGGTTTGACGCATTTTTTAAATCACAGGGGACTAATGCGCCGAATTTCCAAATCACAGGGGGGTTTGGTGCATTAAACCCTACCCACACATTTTGTGTACACCTAGCAAAACGCATTTGCAACATGGGTCAAAAGGCCAAAGTTAGCATAATCACCCCAATAGTCTAGCTATACAACTTTGGGAAAAAATGGTATAAGTAATATGACACCATGGGTGTGAAATTCTCATCACTTATTCACGGTTTTTTATATGTATTTTAGAATTTACAAAAAACTATACATACATAATATATATCAAAATTCATAAATTTTTATTATCTTTCGTATGATAATAATGTTGTATACATAGAGTTAAAAAATTGAAGATTTAATTGCTAAGGTGTTAGGCTAAAAGAATATTTAGATATATCTAGATGCTAAAATTAAAATCTCATAGTTACAATATTTGTTTACAATTTTCATAATTATAGGTCTAAAATAAAAAAACCAAATTAAATTTTAAATTATTTATTTATCGAAATGTTTGAGTTGTTAAATCAGAAGTGTTCGTAAAAATATATTGACAAAAATGATGTATAATAATGAAAGGAAAGATTTGATTGCAAAATATGACCGAATATATTGATGGTGTTGGATTGGTGGAGTGAATATCAATGACTTTTATGTAATAATCATTGCTTTCATGTATAATTTGTTGGAAAATGTGTTAACATTGCATTAAATGGTCAATTTTGGACAGTAATTTGAGTGGGGTCCACTTCCGATTTGGGTCATGTCAAAGTGGTTTCGGATTCCCCTTGTTAAGAGCTTCAATTCGAGATGTGACACACTCAAAACGCATAACGGGTGAATGAGAAATCGATTCTCGAAGTTCACTCGTTGAAATAGAGAAAACTGAGAAAAGAATGAGTTTTTAGTGTGATTTATCCCACATTGGAAAATCCAATGGATTCTCACCCCCTTATAAAGGTCACCCTCTTTGAAAGAGTTAAGATTGCTAGGTGGAAAGGTTCTCTTCACGCGCAGGATGGGTGCCGATCAAATCTCGAAAACAAAGAAGAAAAATCGTGACATATGTGCGTTGGCAACATGCGGGTGCGAATGTCATCTCAAACATACGATTTAATTTTTGTTTCTTCCCGTAACGTTTCTAAATTTTTACGCAACAGAACTGCTGAGAGAGAGCGCTTCTGATCCGCGTCAGAACTGTTCGGACAGAACCACTTCTACTCTGCATCAGAACTGCTCTGACAGAACACCTCTGTTCCGCATCAGAACTGTTCAGACCAAAACTTTCTGCTCCGCATCGGAACTGCTTGACAACATTACAATAATTATTATCCAACGTTCTTCTCCTTTAATGCGTCTTTAATTAAATGGACAATTTTTCGACATATTAATACTCAATGTTCTGGTCATTTATGTTCAATGTTCAGGTCCATTAAAGCTCATTTAGTACACAACAAATCCGTCCCTATATACAGTTGGCATGTTATATGCAACAACACACGAACTACACAGTCTTCACGTAGTTTTCGAGCTAAAAGCCACCTCCAGCACTCTGAAAAATTCCTTAGTGTTCTTGTATTGTTTCCGTTCACCAGAACAACCAATTGTGTGCTCATAGCCACCGTATCCTGAGAAACTATCATTGTAACGCTCCTAACACCGTGAAAGACAACGAATACATTTTAAGGAAATTGTGTGTTGCACAAGCTTAGACTAGTCCCTTCTTGTTTCTAGTTTCTTGATTATTTATTTATTTAAATAATCTCATTATTTTCCGATTAAACACACAATTCACCCAACATAATTATCGCAAAGTTATTTTTTGGTAATTGAGTGGAATGGGTATAAATATCACCATATTCAATTTTACTTGATTCTATGAGCTCTTTTAATTAATATTTACACCTTGAGAGTTTGATAACACTGAATTGACTGATTATGTTGAACTTTATTAAGTTGTGGCTGAAGTGGCTGGATTGATGGTTCTCCTGATATGTGAAAAAAAATGTAAAATACTAGTATATTTTATTAATAAAATAATGAAAAAATTACATGAAAAATAGCTAAAATAATCCTTAACTTGAGCCATTATAGTCATTAAACTAACTCCAATCTTATTTTTTTTATTACCCAACTCAATACGCGAAATCAAACGTTACGTGTTTAATGAAAAAATTCACTGATAAGTCTGATAAATTGAAAAACAATACAATTCGAGTTGGTCTCGAGGCGGTTCACCAAAGAGGCTCCTTATTGTTCAATTACTTAACTAAAATTACTCGATGTATTTCTTGCAAAAAAAAAAAAATTACTCGATGTATAAAATTTTTTGAAATGAACTTATTGTATGTTGGACCCTACTACTACTCGAGTTGGAAGACCTCGTAATTCTGAATTGGAAGACTCGATCAAATCAAGAGTTCAAGACCATCAAAAGTAGGAATGTAAGTGTTAAGGATAAAGTTGATTTATTTGATTACTCTCATAATTAATGGGGGTGGATTTGTAGGTGCTTTCTGCACCTTTGTTTCGATAGAAATCTTTGTAAGTTCAACAATAATTTAAAATAATATGGAGTAATTATTTGCATTAAAATTGTTTCCATTAGTTTATAAGTTTATTGATGGTGAAGCAAAGGCTTCGAACCACACCGGTCCGGATCGGTCGTAACGGGAACCGGCCGATTGCCAAAATCGATTTGTACGGTTTGGTTAGGAAATTGGTCTCGGGGCGGTTCACGTGTACCAGTCCCAAGCTGCGTTTTTACGACCAGAATCGGCGCGTCCAGCCCCGATTCAATCTTCTTCTTTCTTCATATTTCAAGCATCGGAAGCACAAAAAATGATACATAAGTAGAAAAGGTAATGGGTATGTTTGGCAAATGGCTATTAGCTGTTGTTGTTAGCTGGTTGTGTCAGCTGTTTCCTAACAGCTGGTTGTGTTAGCTGTTTTGACCGGCTGATTATGTTAGCTGATTATAGATAATTGTTTGGTAAAATTGGTTGTTTTGAAATGGCTGATAGAGTGTAAATTGAACCAGCCGAATGAATAAGCTGCCCCCCTTAGCTTCTTCAACAATCCATTTTTTCAGCTTTTCAAACTCAACAAGCTAATTTTAAAAGCCATTTACCAAACATCATTATTAGCTTCTTTGACCAATCAAACAACTGAAATGGGTCAAACAAGCTAAAAGCCGGCTGATAAGCCATTTGCCAAACATACCCAATAAAAAGAGGAAAAGTAATACGAAAGAGTATATTGGCCAACTCATGTGATGGAGGAACAATATAGTATCTGCATGATTCGTCCCCCTCCTGAACGGCCGCCAAAGAGGAATTGTGTGATGAGGACCTGGAAGACAATGTCAGAAGAATGGATTCCGCGGTTCCACCCGCTAAAGTTTATTTATTTTTGCTATGTTTTGGTTGCTAATCTTTATTTTAATTTTATTTTATTAGGTCAAATAATAAGGGTGGCGGATTCTTAGATTAGTTTACCTTAGTTGTTAGATTTCTAATGAAAGGAAATCAGGCTGATTCAGCCGCTAATAGCCTTAAAGCTCTCACATTTTCAGTGATTAGTCTCGCTCTTTTTGGTGTGGACTATTCTATGTCTGATATAGAAGTGAGGGGGGCGGCAGGCTTATGGTTACGTTTGGCTAGAGAGAGGTTAGTATTAGTTGGTTTAATATTTGCAATTCTCCTAGTTGTACTGCGAGATTTGATTTAATTTAATATATGCCAGTTTCCAGTATAAAAAAAAAGTAGAAAAGGTAATAAAAAGAGGAAAAGTAATACGAAAGAGTATACTTATAAAAAGTAGGAGTAAAGTTTCCAGATTTAGAAAAATAGAACAAATGAAAAATAGAAAAAAGATTGGTGTACACAAAAGTTGTACACAAGTTGTCTGTCCGGAGATCAGTTGTCTGTGGACAG